TGGTATAGCAGAGCCTTATTAAAAGATGCTTTGTGAATGAGAGATTTAATTTTACTGCAGAGGAGAGAAGACTGCCTTGTGACAGCCCCCAGAGGAAGGCAAAAGGGAAACAGAAGATCTGAGCTTTGATTTTGGTTCTGAATTCTCTCTGGCTACATGACCTGAGCCCTTAATTTTTTTGTGTTTTTTTTGGTGCTTGGGTTTTTTTTTTTACTTATAAAATTAGGAGGTAAAACTTGCATGATCCAGCCTTCAAATGGATTTCTAGATACTACTCACTTAGTAGTGTTTTAAAAAGATTTCACTGGGCTTCCCTGGTGGTGCAGTGGTTGAGAGTCCGCCTGCCGAGGCAGGGGACATGGGTTCGTGCCCCGGTCCGGGAAGATCCCACATGCCGCAGAGCGGCTGGGCCCGTGAGCCATGGCCGCTGAGCCTGCGCGTCCGGAGCCTGTGCTCCGCAATGGGAGAGGCCGCAACAGTGAGAGGCCCGCATACCGCAAAAAAAAAAAAAAAAAAAAAAAAAAATTTCACTTAGCAAATAAATGAACTAATGATTGAATGAATTAAAAAAAAAGATTTCAGTATTTCCAGATGGCCAGCACTGATTTATGGCATTACAATCGGAGGGAATGCCAGAGGTCATTTATACCATCTTCCTGCCTTCCTTACCTCAGGCCTAGCTCCTCCAAGAGAGAGGGGTATCATGGATACAGAGAATACTTTGTTTTCCAAGAGAGGGAACCCCAGAAACAGCATCTAGAATAGACCAGTTTGTATAATGATTGAGAAGAGCCACCTGCAGATGTGACCCACCACAAGACAGGGCTGAAAGCACAGGGTGCAGAGTCCAATGTGAATTCTCAAGGGCAAGTTCCCAAAGATGACTGAAGGACAGACCCCTTAGGCTGCTACCTTATCCTATTGCAGAGGTTCTCAGGTGTGGTTACAGACCCTTGGGACCACCCCCCCCACCGCCCCGCCCCCGGCCCTTTCAGAGGGACCTACGAGGTGAAAACTATTTTCATAATAATACTAAGACAAAATTTGCCTTTTGTAATGTGTCGACATTAACACTGACAGGGCAAAAGCAATCATGAGTCAAACTGCTGGCACTCAGTGTGGGTCAAGGCAATGGCCTTGCACTGTATTAGTCATTAATGTATTCCTCACTGCCAGGGACTTGCTGCAAACAAAAACCCCAAAAGTCAGTTTCACTTACGAATGGCCTTGATGAAACAATAAACATTATTAATGTTATTAACTCTCTACCTTTGAGTCCACATGTTTTTATTATTCTGCGTGACTAATTGGGAAATACACATAAAGCCCTTCTGCTATATACTGAGTACTGGGACTGTCTTGAAGAAAAGCACTTGTGCAATTGCTTGAGGTACAAGCTGGACAATTTCATTGTCATAAAACATCATTTTTACTTGAAAGAACAAATGACAGATTATGGTTATTCAGCCTTAAGAATTTGGCATACATTTTCTTAAAAATTGAAATAAGCCTGTCACTTCAAGAAAAACACCTGACGGTATTTGCTGTCAATGATAAAATTTGAGCTTTCAAGCAAAACTTGGGATCTTGGGAAACTTGTATCCACCACCATGAATATGATAGCTTTTCAATACTTAAACACTTTACTGATGAGACTGGAAGTGATCTTAACGAATATGATTTTTGATGTTGCATAATGAAATGTCTCAATATCTGGATGATCTGCATAACTCAGTAAACCAATATTTTCCAAATGACCAATAGATGATGTTATAAAATCATTCATTTGTGAAAGATGCATTCAAAGGGCAAGCGGAAAGCAATGCATTTTAATGTAACAGAGTATAAGTTCGTTGATACGGTTTCACATTCTATATTGTAATTCTCCTTTAAGAAACTACCATTTGCAGAGTTTTGGTGTAGCATCAAAGAAGATTATCTGTAATTATCTGAAAAGGTTATTTAAATATTCTTCCCATTTCCAATTACATATCTGTGTGAGACAGAATTTTCTCATATACTTAAGCCAGAAAAAAAAATGCCACAACAGGTTAAATGCAGAGGCAAATATGAGGATCCAGGTGTCTTCCATTAAACCAGGCATTAAAGAGATTTGCAAAAATGTAAAACGATGCCCTTTTTACTAAATTTCTTTTGTTTGGACAATATAGTTATTTTCATAAAATATGTTAACATGTAATAATTTAATCATTGCTAATTCATTATATGTTACTTTTAAAGTTAAATGATAAGTGATATTTAAAATTTTCTGTTTTAATTTCTGAGATGGCGAAATATTGAGAGATACAATCCGTATTAACAAAAGTATATTGGAGTTCTCAATAATTTTTAAGCCCATAAAAAGGGCCCTGCTCTGAGATGCTTGCAGAGAAAGTGGAATTTGGGATGAGTAATTAATAAGAGGAGGACCTGTCATGTATCAGCTTGCACTACTGTTGAGAAGTGTCATGACTTAATTGGGCTAAATGGCCAGGGTTGGTTATCAAGACAGAATCATCCCTGGAGGGGTAAAATGAAAGTCATCTATTACCTAAGATTGGCAGAAATCACTTTTGTGAATATTGAATTCTCACGGTCCTGATTAGACCTTGAAGGGCACCTTTCTGTGCCCTTCCAATTGCCTCCAGTGCCCCTAGTGCCCAAGTCCATCCCTTTCCCTCCAGGGAAAGTCTGGCCCTGTCCCTGCTTGATGCTGACCATCGTGACTAATGTGGGCTAAAAATCTGCCTCCCGGGTCATGGTGAATGCCACTCTGAGTCCAACAATCAGTGCCCAGTACTTGGCAAGGCCCCAGGCACTTGCAGGCACTAAGAATGAAAGATGAGCATGTCGTGGCTTTTGTCCTGGAGGACTTCTCAGTCTGGTGGAGAAGAAAGGCTCCTGAAGAAATAATTACAGTATGATGTGATAAATGCTCTTCTGAACATAGTGACCAACTTTTTTCCAACCAAAAATTAGGACACACTCTGACATCTGACAATGAAACAATTTTGAGGTACTTGAAACACATGTCTGCTATACATATTAAGAAACTCCCAACAACTCCGCAGAAATTCTGTATAGCTTTGTACTTGATTTGGCCTAAAGACCCAGAAACAATGGTCTGTACCCTTAAAAAAATTCTGGGAAATAACAGTGTCAGAACAGAAAAGAGCAAGAAACGCCTTAGGATTACAGAAGATGAGTAATAGGCCCCTAACATTTTCTTTCCTCTGGGTTAGTGGATGGGAGGCACTAGAGGAAATTTTTTCCATCATGCTTGTTCCAAGTGGTTTTTTCCTCTCCAGGCAGAGAGTCCAAGTTTGTTCACACAGGTCTCCCACATCAGCTGAAGCAGATCAAGCTGAATCCCAGAGTCAGAAGAATGAACTAGTATGAGGCTTCTAAGATCTCCAGCCTTAATTACATGTGGCTAAAATTAAACAATAAGGTTCTTGATCTGCCAAGAAATGGAGTCCCCTCTGGGTGGGCTGTTTGGGGACCATGGAGGTTATGGTCTAGACTGGGTCTTCTTAAGTCCCAACCACGTACCCTTTGCCCCCCTCCCTTTGGGGCTGACCCAAAACCCTCTTTTTAGTTTCTTTCTCCAGCCTCCCTGTTCTCTCCCAGCTGCGGCAACTCCCAAGTGAAGTGAACAAGACTAAAACACACAATGAACCAAAACATGCTGAGTGCCACACATGGACATCCTGCCACCCACAGTTAGAAAGAATGGGCTACACTGGGTCTCAAAGGCAATCCAAATGAAAGGCAGGACAAGGAGCCTGACAAACCCCTTCTGCATCTTGGATCCACTACCATTAGCCATTCATTCTGAGGGTTCTGCATCCGCAGATTCAACCAACAACGGGTCATAAATATTTGAAAAAAAAATTCCATAAAGTCTCAAAAAACAAAACTTGAATTTTCCACACAATAACTACTGACCTAGCATTTACATTGTATTTACAACTATTTACATGGTACTAGGTATTATAAATAATCTAGAGATGACAAAGTATACGGGAGGATCTGCCTATGTTTTATGCAAATACTACGTCATTTCACATATACGGGATTGAGCATCCATGGATTTTGGTATCTGTAGGAGTCCTGGAACCAATCCCCCTCGAATGCCAAGGGACGATTGTACTTACGTTGGACTAGGGGCAAATCATGATGTCTCTGTGATCTCCAGTGAGCTCATTCACAAAAGCCCACAAAAGGTTATTTTGAGGATGAAATGACAACATATGTAAAACTGCTTGCCACTCAGTAAGCTCACTCTTCATAGTTATAATTTTCATATCATTTGTGTGATTATTTAATTAGTGTCCGGCTCCCCATTAATCTCTGAGCTGCATGAGAACATGGGTTGTGTCTTTTTTATTCACTCTCATGTCCCTAGTGTTTAGCACAGTGTCTGCCACGTTAGGCATTTGATGAGACAACTGTTTGATAAAAGGGAGCTGGTAGGGTCCTGATTAAGGATTTACTCTAAAACAGCAAGTTTGGGGTTGCCTGACAACCCTCATGGATTCGTACTGGCTACCTGGAGCATGGCGTACTAAGGATTCTAAGGTGGTATCTGATATATTAGCAATACACGCTATGGTTGAGGATGTTGAGTATTTGTTGACCTTGGCCTGCGCAGTCAAGAGCAGGTGGTCCCTTTTGCCAGTTCTTTCCAGAACAAATAGGCTGGTTGTATGGACAGAGCCACTTCAGGAGCACTGAGGTTACCAAATATCTGACCTGAAGAGAAGCAGCATGACCTCAGGAATATTTTTTAAAATCACAGATAAGAAAACACTTAGAACAATGCTCTGCAAAGAAGCTGAAAGCATCCGACTATTATATCTGCCTGTCTCGATGAGTTCGCTTTCTTGGAATGTGTTTCATGAAGGCATTGATTGGTAAGAAGGAGAAGCTAGTATATCCCACAACCAGAACTTTGTAATACCCTCTCCCCCAACCCATAAGGAAGCTGTTCTACTCACGAGGGTAATCCTTTGGGTGTGTCTTCTCAGACCAGTTCCCATAAAATGTGAGCCTGTACTTGGCAGTTCCACAGGCGCAGCAGTCCAGGATTGGCTTGTCAGTCACCCCGTCAAATGTGGAGTCTGAAAGAGTCAGGAAAGTCACCAAGTTAGGAAGCAGCAGTGGGTCATTTATAGGACAGCACCATCTCGGTCTCGTTCTGTCTTGAAGGCTTGGGAAAAGAAGATGAGGTACAGTTTTCACCGATTAATAACTCAGAACCAGGTCCAGCTATAAAGGACTTTATATACCTCTAAGGGTGATAACTATATATTTTGCAAATTAAAAAAACATCAGAACTTCTGCTCTAATAATGTGAGGAGACCTATGGGACCAATAAGGTAGAATATTTGGGATGGGGGCCCATCTTGATATATTTTCTGGGCCCAAATCTCCTTCCCCACCCCTCCCACAACAGGATTTCTCCACCAGATTTTAAGAGGAATATGCCTGTGTGTGTTTTCTCTAAGGAATATTCTCTGGGGCCAAATTGCCAGGACCAGAAAAAGCTTTGAAGGAGAGAAATGAGAACAAGCAGAGGGATGTGAAGAACTGCTGAAAATTATTTCTAAAAAGATATGCATGTATAGTCACGTCACTTCTTATCAAGCTTACAGAGAGTTTACTGGGAGGGTTGGGGGTTTGGGAATATGTCCATAAATTCAGGTTTACCTCTGAGCATAGAAGCAGCCGGGAAAAACTCAAGATTCCCAATCCGCCCCCACTTTTAACTGCGAATAGCTGATAAGTGGAGAAAGATTACATGAATAAATTCAGTATTTCCGACTGTCAAGCCCACACCCCTAACTGTGCATTGTTGCTTTTGGTCTGTTCTGCTTCCTGCAAGATGAAACAATGTCTACAGATGCAACTTGTTTCAATTGCTTTTTCTTTGCTTCCTCTGGAAGTATTAACATAAATGTTCTCTCTCTTTTTGCAAGTTGGACATTTATTCTTAACTATTATATAAAGAGCAGCAACAAAGAGTATAAAAATCTTTTTGAGTGTTAGGAAGAGCATTTTACAAGTCTTCCTTATGGAATTCACTGGGTTCATTTGGTTTGAATATGCAAAACCAGTGATGGGTGGAAGAAGCGAATTCTGGGTTCGAGGATGGAGACAAAAGTATGGGATATTGTAATAAGAACTATATTGTATAGAGTCTTCATACATGCTGATCCCTTTCCATATATTGTCTCATTTGATCCTGACAAACCTAGGAGGTCAGGACTTTGGTTAACCCCATTTTATAGATCATGAAACTGAGGCAGATTAGGTGACCAGCCCAAGGCCACAGGGTTTAGTAAGTGGTGTAGGCAGAACTGGAGCTCAGGTCTTTTTGAGTCCACAGCCCATGCTCTTAACCTCTACACTATATCACTGCAGGAAAGACCTTCTGCTGGATAGGTCTGCATAAACACCCATGAGAGAAATTGGTGTGTGTTTCTCTTTTTGCTTTTTCAAATGAAGAATGGTACATTTGAAAAATTACCTCCCTACATGGCTCCAGAATCTCTAAAGAGATCTGAAACCATCCCAAATAGAAATCATTGTTTGGCTACTTTTTGTACACTAGGAAGAGGCTACAGCATTGTTTGTGTTAGGAGAAATCTTCCCACTGCCTTATGTACACGAAGTCCAGATCTGATTCCTGTGTGAGCCACTTTGATACTTAAGGGACAAGCCCTGTTGACTATATTTCAGGAAAGGTAGCGTATATGAGTAACTCCTGAAGGTTCTTCCTTTTCACATTTCCATTATGATCACCTATGTTGTTAAAAAAAAACTAAATCAGTTTTGAGAAAGGAATTCAGAGCTAAGAGATACATGCTGGGGTTTCAATTGTAACTACTCGGCACTGTAAATGAGGCAGCAATAATCTCTCAAAAAACCAAAATAAGGCAAACTGGTAGCTTTACCTTATCAAAAGGGCTCTCAGATATAAGTAGTGAACTTAAAGATGCACCCAGGGGTTCAAGGGAATGCACTTATAATAAACCTTTTGGAATTCCAAAGGAAAATAAGCTTCCATTTAAAAAATAAATTTCTAAGCTTGAAAATAAAAACAGACATAACTGTTTCCTACTGGGGAAAAGCCCACTGAAAATGAATCAGGTTTTCAAAGGGCAGTGATAACAAATGTTAACTTACCCCTCTTCTCCTAACAGTGCAGGGCTTGCCCAATACAGGTAATTGCAGGCCCTGCAGCATCTCCCAAGCTGTCCCCTCCCCCTCATTTCTACTCTTAATCCATCAGTTTTCTTTTCTACTGTCATCCTTTATTCTTTGCTCTTCCCTTGTCTTCTTTTTCTCATGATCCCTCCTCTGCCCACATTTTCCTCTCATCTCTGCTTTTCCCCTCATCCTTTCCTCTTTGTCTCTCTCCCTTAACTGTCTATGACATGGTATTAAAGTGAGTACATGTGTGCATTTGTTTATTATATGTCACCTTTTGGAATATTTTATGTTTCTCTGTTTTTAATTGTAAGTAGCTTAATGTTTTATGTTTCTTTTAAAAAATAACGATTGCCATTGCTTTTAATCTGTGCAATTCTTAATTTTCCCCTATGGATAAATAGCTTCAACTGGGGAAAAAAATAATAGACACTAGTTTCTCTCTTCCTTTCCTTGATAGATTTGATTTGACTTAACAAAGAGTGTGAATACCTTAATGAAAGAGCTGGAGATAATCAAGTGGGCATACACATTTAAGAAAAATCTCTTTGCTCTATGCTTATATCTTAAAGACTTTTTGTACAGGATCTGCTTTGCTAACTGATGGATTTCCTCATGGGTCTGCTGTCTCCAGGGGTCATATACAACAGCACCTAATGATCCTATAGCCCAGGTCCTGCTGGGTCTTTTTTTGTCCACAAAGTTGCTGTTGGAAAGAGGTCTTCTTATACAGATTCGTGCTTAGTCATTTTGATAGGATCTCTGCTTCAGAAGTGGTAACCAATAGAGATTTGCAAGGTCATTTTACTGACACTGTATCTGCAGACTGTTAGCATATTCATAGCTTAGACAAGGCTTTCACAACATCAGGACTGAGGCTTTGGAAAGTGCAATTTAGTTGATGGTTGCTGTCAGTACATGGGGCTGACAGTGAAGTGTCTTCTAGAAACCCTCAAATCTGGGAAATAAGGCTGTCCTCTGAGAGTCAAACTAACAAAACCTCACCACAGTGGCCATGATTAGCCAACCAAGAGGTGAGCTAGAATAGCCACAACTCTAACCCACAGGACCTGGAGGTCATCTCATGGAGGCTGGGCAGGGATGGGACTGTCCATTAGGAACCAAGAGCCTCAAGAGTTGAGAAGTTCTGGGTCTGGGGAAAGGCTAAGTGAATCTGTGGACTATGAAATACAGGAAAGCCTCAACAGCCACGCATGGTGATGCCCACCTGGAAACTGCCCAGGGCGCTGGCCCACAGGTTGCAGCTCTCTGGCGCCTTTGGCAGGCATGACCGTAATGCAGGGCAGCCAACTCTCTCCCCTTTAGCTCCTTCCATGCTCTCCAAGAAGTCCTCCACATAGGACCTAGTTTCTGCTCCAGCTCATCTATAGGGAGACCTATGCTTTGATCTACCCAAAGTAACAATCCAAGCTACTGAACTGGGAGGTAGTCACTTTGATAGAAAGGCAGTGGTTAGGGCAATGGCTCCTAGGTCCAAACTCTGACCTCCCCCACTAGCTGTATCATGCTGAGTGAGCTCTTTAAACTTCTCATGTCTCAGGCTTCTCATTTATAAAATAGGTATGATATAATAGTCTTTACCATATAGGACTGTTATGCAGGTTACATGATTAAGGCATGTGAAGTGCTCAGAATGGTGCCTGGCATGTAGCAGTCACTAAAAAAAAAAATTAGCTCTTATTATTATTTTCCCAGAAGACCTTTATCAACTTTTCTTTTTCTTAGTAGCTTACGATTTGCTAGAAATAGAATGATTTCTTCTGAAAACGCAAATTGTTCTAAATGTAAAAAAAAAGTCTGTACAAATTAATAGAAATGAAAGAGTGAAGATGTATAATTTCAGAACATTTTCCATGTTTATTTAGTTCTCTAATGACTTCTAAACACATTTGGATGTTTCAAACTTTAATTTTTCATGGTAGATTACTAAATAAGCTTTGGGCTGTAGATAACAATAGCTAACACATACACATATATAATATATATATGTATGTGTATATATGTATGTATGCGTGTATATATGTATGTGTACATAGCAATATACATATCAATATATATATTTACTATGTACCAAGGAGGCACGGTACTATTTTACATACATTAAGTTGCATGACGAGGGCTTCCCTGGTGGCGCAGTGGTTGAGAGTCCGCCTGCCGATGCAGGGGACACGGGTTCGTGCCCCGGTCCGGGAAGATCCCACATGCCGCGGAGCGGCTGGGCCCGTGAGCCATGGCCGCTGAGCCTGTGCGTCCGGAGCCTGTGCTCCGCAACCGGAGAGGCCACAACAGTGAGGCCACAACCGCAAAAAAAAAAAAAAAAAAAAAAAAAAAGTTGCATGACGAGGAAGGGCAGAGGCAGGATTTGAAAGTCAGCTGGATCTGAATCCAGGACTCTGCTCCAACCTCCTCAGTCTACTTGGTCCCTATAAGCTTTGTTAGAACACCTTCAAGGAGAGGGAGTTGACGAGCCTGCACACCCAAGGACGAGATCCTTGAATGAGGTGAGATCACAATGTCAATGCCCCCTTGACATCCCCGTTTCCCTAGAGAAAATCCCCCCCCTTCCTGCCTGGGTGCCCCAAAATTTCCTGCTAGTGATTACTCCAGACAACTGTTAACAGACTTTTTAAAGGTACACAATTGTGTGTTCCTTAATTAAGTCCTGTGAATTATTCCAAGGAACCTCTTCAGAATAATCACTGTTTCACAAAAATAAGGAGACGACGACACCAATATAAGGTACATATCTCCTATCCAGGGAATCAAGCTGAGTAATTAGAGTTTAGGGCAGATCCAATTACCCACAGCACACAGCCAGATTAAAAACTGGAGCTACGTGAGGACGCAAAACCCAGAGGAACTCAGAAAGCCCAACTGCCTTAATTCCTGCAGCTGAATCCTTGGACTCAATGAGCCACCTTCCATTTCTCTAGCCCTCTCTCACCCACACGTCCACAAATCCTTACCTTGTTCACAAAGTTTCTTGGTCAGAGAGCCCTCATCTTGAAAATAAATGATGCGTTTCTGTACGATGCTAGCCCTGTGGGGAAAGAGGACACAAGCACATGGTGAGGAGGGCAAGTCTGGGGGATGTCAGATCCCGGCTTGTCCACCTACAGCGGTGTGGCTTTGGGGGAGTGCCCCCAACACTCTGTGACTCAGTTTCCTCATTGGAAAACTAGCATTAAGAATAATATCTACCTCCCAGGATTGCTATGAGAACTAAATAAGAAAATGTACGCCAAGAGTTCAGCATATACCTAGAAAACACTCAATAAATATTAGTCATGGTGGTGGTGTTGGTGGCGCTCATATTATTATTAAGGTAGGAAGGTGAACTAACAGCATTTTCAATAACTTTTCTCAGTGGTTCATTTACTCTAGTTTCGTATCAAATTATTGAGGCCATTTATAGATCAAATAAATTCAAATCAGGAAAGCATGTCAATTTCTCTTCCTGAAGGGGAAAATAAAACCCTAAAAATATATTTTGATTTGTTCTGAAAATGTCACTCTATATCTTTCCTGAAAGACTAGACGAAACTATCTCCTACGTTCTGAACAAAGACAACTTCAGCTGTTATATCTCCCTCTTAAACATGTCAAACACAGGATCTTAGAATTTGGAAAGAATATTTTGAGGTTGAAAAATGACTTGCTTTTGGCCAGCATACATTTTCTCTTTAATCTAGGATTGCACAGACATACTACTCTGCAGTTTATTTTCAGCTGGCCTTGAAGAGGCCTGAAACCCAGTGTTCCAGTAATTTGAAAGTCCACAACACAACATTGAGATGGTGCCGGTGGATCCTGAGCCATTTCTATTGATTTTCTTCAGCAATGTTACCCAATCAAAAGGTAATTTTCACTTTGATTTTCCCTGTTTAACAGATAAAGGGAGTCCTCAACTTCATCACAGCTGACCACACTGAACCAGGGATAGTCACACAAGCTGCCCTGTGTCACATGATCACAGACCCAGGAATGGGCCCAAGTGTGCATAGATCTGCATGCAGAGCACAGAGATGGCTCTCTCGATGGTCTGGGCCTAGGCCAAAACGACTTTCCAAAGAAATGTCTACTGTACACTCAGTCTTTCACAAAAAAGTAAAATTGAGGCCAGCCTATTAATGTCTTTTACAGTCTTTCCCCACCCAAGAGAGAAGAGATGTTGAAATAACTGAATGAAATATACTTCCTATTGACACAAGCTACTATGATTATTTATCCATTCTGTTGACCATCAAGCAGAATGTTTCTTTGGGCCAAGAGAACACTCTGGAGAACACTCGCCTCAAAGCCAAATAACAAAGCCTTCTGTTAGTTGGAGTATCCCATCACCCACCACAGTGCTTCCAGAATGTTCCCCAGTGAAATTGCCTCAGGGACCCCTGTGGAGAGCAAGGAGTAGGCCTAGTGGGAAGTATCCCAGGCCTCACGTTCTTGCTTCAAACAAAGGTTCCAACCTCACTTCAACCCAAAGCAGCCCCCTCTCCCACGTGTCTTCCTGTTGTATTTGCTGGTGTATTTTCAACAAATAATTGCTGGAGGTGTGCTTAGCGACCAGGCATTGGCCAGGGACACTGTCATGAACGAGACAAACGGGGCCACTTCCCATTCTCAAAGTTGACAGAATAGTGGGGAGAAAGCATCAAACAACTAAACCCTCAGTTAATGAATGGAGACATCCACAGGGTGTGGGAGAGTGTATCACAAGGGTTCCTGACCAAGCCAGGAAAGGTTCCTCCCAGAAAAGGTGACTGAGCTTAGATTTGAATGACTAGAAGCTAATTAGGCAAGTGGGATGGAGAAGCAAAGGAGAGGGCATGCTTTGTAAGATCCTTGAGGTGGGGAGGGCTGCAGCTCACTGGAGAACCCACGAGTGCTAAACCAGGGAGGTGTGAGATGAGCTGGGGAGGTGGGCGGGGCCACATCGCCCAGAGCCTGCAGGGAGATGGCATTTTACTCCAAGCTTGATGAGAAGTCCTTGGGAAATGTGCCATGAGGAATGAGATGATCAGTTCTGCCCTTTTAAAAGAGCCTTTGGGGGCTTCCCTGGTGGCACAGTGGTTGAGAGTCCACCTGCCAATGCAGGGGACACGGGTTCGTGCCCCAGTCCAGGAAGATCCCACATGACGTGGAGTGGCTGGGCCCGTGAGCCATGGCCGCTGAGCCTGTGCATCCGGAGCCTGTGCTCCGCAACGGGAGAGGCCACAACAGTGAGAGGCCCGCATACCGCAAAAAAAAAAAAAGAGCCTTTGGACCACAGAATAAAAACGGATTGGTATATGGTTGCAGTACACGGAGCTCCCATGCAAATCAAATTTTGTTTCAATAAAGGTCTCCTGATAAAATGGTTTGAAAACACCTGATCTGGGACTTCCCTGGCAGTCCAGTGGTTGGGGCTCTGTGCTTCCACTGCAGGGGGCATGGGTTCGATCCCTGGTCAGGGAACTAGGATCCTGCATGCCAGGCGGCCAAAAAACAAACAAACAAAACACCTGAACTACAGGATGAAGTACAAACTTACCATGGTATTCAAGGCTCTTCATAAAAACCTCCCCCAAACACTACCCTGGCTTTATTTGTTGGCATTTTGTGCCATGCTCCCTGGGTTCTAGGCTATGCAAAGTTTATCCCCCTTGTCTGAACACCTCTTTCACTCCACCACACCCTTACCTGTGCTGTTTCCTCTCCCAGAATCTCCCATCACCTGTCTTTGCTAGCACTGGTAACAAATACTCTGAATTTTCTTCCTCCTGCTGTGAGTGGGAGAATAATGGCAAACCCTATGATATAAAGGCATGATGATGCTTAGAAAAATTAAATCACCCCCAGATTTTCCAAAACTATCATTATAAATATTTGAGGGGCCATATTTCCTTTAAGATATTTCTATTTCTTTCATGCCTTGTTTTATAAAGTCAAGTTGGCCCTCTTTTTGGTAACAGTTGTAATTTCTGAGCCCTTATTATGTGCTAGTCACTGTGCTAGGGAGGCCCTTCATGTACATCATCTTACATACCTTCTGCTTTACATATACTACACAACCTCAAGCTCTTTATCAAAACACTTGGGCTAGATGTGTTTTTGAATTCAGAGTTTTTCAAATATTAGGAAGTTAAGATGGCAATAGGCCATTAACATCCCCATGATCAAACATATCCATATTCTGCCACAAAATGTAACAATATTCATACTACGAGAGTAAATAGAACTTATAAATAGCTTCACGTCAGTTTAGGTCAAGTTCAGCAAACTTATCAAAATGCTCTTGTTTTCAGAGGGATTAAGATGAGGGTTTGTGGCTATTTTCACCCTAATCTTACAGGTGACGATGACTGAGATGTAGGGAGGTTAAGTAACATGCTCAAGGTGTGAAGCCTCCCACCTACTGCCAAAGTCCACGGTCTGTCTGAGGCTCAGAGTGCTCGTAAGGACTAAACACGATTACCTATAAAGAGTATAACTGCACTGTGAGGAATGTATTGTTATAAAATGTAACCTCGAATTGATTTGGGGGGATCTATTTTAGCATCTCACGGAGCACACAGTGGAGAGCTGAGACTTCCGTGGGTCTCCCCGGAGCCTGGGTCATGATCACCTGAAGCTCTCCATGAAAAGACGAGCATATATCCCCATGTCCAAGCTTGGCCAACCCTCTAGACCGTGCCCTTTGGATTTCAAACTCCGTGCAGATCCAATGTGGCATACAAGGCTTGTTCTGATCTGGCCCTGGTGATCAGGCTTTATCTCTATCCAGTCCCTCCTGAGCACCCTACCCAAACCATATCCTATACCTGTCTTCATGATCTCACACCCTTGGGCTCCTGTCCATGGGACTCCTTCTGTCCTTCCTTGTGATTCCTCAATATACACCACACACACACACACACACACTCTCTCTCTCTCTCTCTCTCTCTCAGTTACCTAACTCATACTCAACTAAGACGTTACTTCCTTCAGATTGATGTCTTGCCTGGATGTTCTTCCTTATGAGAGCCATAGCCACTTGGGCTTCTCCTACCCAGCACTTATTAACCTGTATTATAATTGCCTGTTTACTTTTCTATCTCCTGTGCTAGATTATAAGCTTCCTGAGAGCAGGAACTGTACCTTACTTATTTCTATAGTTGTTAGTATCATTGCAATCCTGGGATTCAAGTAGAAGGAACAGAGTTTGGAAAGGAAAGAGTTTGAGATTGAGCTATCTGTAGGGCATGATGGTGGTCGTAGGGGGTAGTTAGACACAGGGACCTGTAACTCAGGAGAGACTTGGGGGGTGGGGAGGATGGATATGGCAGTCACTGGGGCAGAAGTCAGTATCAAAGCTTTTAGAGTGGCCGATGTCACCCAGGGAAAGTGTGTGGCATGAGAAGAGAGTCTAGCTGAGCCCAGAACTCTGAATGCCAACATTCACCCACAGATATGCCAGCAGAGACCAAGACTTTGGAACACTTGGTTGCAGAAGATGTTTCTTTTTACTCCTCATTTGGTCAACTCCTGAGAGAATTTTATATTCTGAGAAAATACATTTCATTACGAGTCTGTTCCCCTCAGAAGTATAAAACTCAGCAGAGATTTATAAATCATATTATAGTTCAGAAAAATAATAGCTTTACAAGACGAGAATGCTGTTAGTAAGAATTCCCTCAGCATTTCAAAATGACAAATTTCTCCCATTCTGTGTTGCAATTTGGCAGTCCTGTTGCATAGCATTTATATACTGATATACTGAATGCTCTCTTATCATGAAAGAACGTGTTAAGGAAATCTAAATTAAATTTCTCAGTATGTTAGCTTCTCAAACTTCAGAATATTGAGGTTCTAAATAACTTACTAATCATTTCAAAAGTTTCCTTTTAAACCTAAAGTGGAACATTTCCAGAAACGCCATCCTGAATCTCTTAGATGCTCTGCTCTTTTCTGTCTGATGAGTTTCTTCATTTGCTGTTCTTTTTCCTTGGGGAGTTTGCCTGTTGGAATAAAGTTAGAGCTGGCTAAGTTGTAGGTTTGCTGTCTAGCGCTGAAAAGGCCTGC